AATAAAGAGAAAAGGCAGCGATATTCTTTGATCTGAAACATGATTCATGAGTTACAAAAATCCATTGGCGATGAACTTATTTCTTATAAGAAAAATGATAGAATTATTTTATTGAAACCAGTACAAATTTAATTATTTTATTTTACAATAGCAAAAAGAAAAACAACAAAAAACGTACAATATACCTATTTCACTGTAATCAAATGTTTCACTTGTATAGCGTAACGAATCTTCACTCAGTGGACTTCAACGAAAGGATTTTGAAAATGTTGATTTTCTATAAATCTCATATCATATCATTAGGTTATTTGTCGCTCGTAGGTGACGTGCTGTGTTATAGTTTGAAATTATATGTCAGGTAATAGCGCTGCTATCGTTTGTTACTCGATATCATTGCACGATCGAACTACGTGTTACTTTTCTTCTTTGTTATTCATATATACATTAGTGACAGAACGACAAAAAAGGCTCGTAGTAACTATGTGAATCGATAAAGGGGTGATATTTATCGCATTCTTGCTGTTGTCTATTTCTTCTACTACTTTTGTGTTTTTATAATAAATACAATTACTACCTTTGCAAGCATGTAATTATATGAACGTGGGGTTTATATTCATTATATTTAGACAAGAATTTTTTTTCAACATTTATATATCAACTCAATGCAAAATCAAGTCGAAGAAATCGTGTTACTCTCAACGGAAGGTGGAAAACAACGTCAACATGAAAATCAAATATTTCTTAGATTACAAAGTAGCTCTGATGATCATACATCAGATAAACAACATCGAAATATAATGAAACGGTATATATTTTTATGAATATATATATATATATGCGTAGATACTTGAAATAGAAGAAATAAATTTTAGTGTCCTAACTTTGTTATTTTATGAAAATTTTGATTGTTTTTTTTTCGACTTAACGATTTAACTTAAGTAATTACTTGATATTCAAAATTATTCTTGTAAGACACCATAAAATTTTGATCATATATTAAGTTCTTAATTAATAATTATTATGTAATATTGTACAATAAAAAAAAACGAATAATAACAAATGGACAATAAAGAATGATCCTTTTAGTAACTCTAAAATATTTTGACCATGTTTTTATCTAAAGGATGTTCCAGAAGTTTCAACTCCCTTTTTAAGGGTCTTAAACGTTAAAAAGGCGGTCAAAACTTATGTAACACCTTTTATGAAAACAAATTTCTTGCAAACATTTTTTCCTTTCAATTCCCTACGACAATACTTATTTCTATTTACATTAGTACTTCAAATAACGGATGAGGCAGGTTGAATAGCTGCGTTTTGCATTTCGTTTTTTGTAGATTGTAGAGCTTTTCATACTGCATCTTTTAGTATATTTTATTTTTCAATACAACGTATTGCGTGATTGAAAATAAAAATGCAGACACGGCTATTCAATCTACCCCACCCTTTATTTTTCTTTTGTCAAATGAAACAGACGATTGACCTAGGAGTTACATGTTTCAAAAATGACTTTTTTCTCAGTTTTCTTTATCAAATGTTTGACTCTTACATTTCGGATCTTTATTCCATGTAGCTTTTAGCTATTCTATGAAGTCCACGAGTTCATCTCATATATCGTAGTCTATAGAGTGAAAGTTAAGATATTATAAGAAGCAAATAGTCTCTATATACGAAATAATGAATAAAAGCTTCGTAGAGATGCGATGAAAAAACTAATTCTTATCATTTATTGTTAAAACTCATCAATATCTCATTTATCTATATATAGATTCATTGAAATTCACTATATAGGATAATTTGATTCATGTCATGAGCTGAAGGAAAAACAAAGCAAAAAGAAAAAAGGCATTAATTGAAAATATAGAATTATGCAGTAAAATAAGTTAAGGGAAAAGTTTTTTTAAGTTGGGACTTTTAGGTCAATCATTTATCTCATTTGACAAAAATTTTGTTTAAACTGTTCAAGTAAATAGAAGTATATACTTCAGTAGAGTTCAAATGATAAAACGTCTCTAAAAAATTTGTTAAAATAGACAAAAAGATGACGAATATATTTCAAAAATACTGAGAGAACTTTTTAAAGATAAAATTATTCTTATATTTATTATAGAATTTCAATTTACCATACATTTTAGCTTAAATTAAGTCTTTCTTTTAGACTAATCACACCAACTAATCGAACAAATTTATACAAAAATCTTCTACTATGGGTTATTCTTATCGGTTGTCTTTTTCTTCTTGCCGGTCCACTTGCTCTTTATTTCTCTTATATTTTACCAGTGGTCAAACCACGTACAATACCATTACATGAATTTAGTGAAGAACGTGCTCGTGATTACTATCCTAATTTAACTCAATATGGTCCAAGAGTTATAAATACACGTGCTGATTATTTTGCACGTGACTTTCTTATTTCACAAATTTATCGAATTCGTTCACTTGCTAAAAAGCCTGTTCAATTCGAAATAAGTTTACAAAATTTTACTGCTCACAATATTGACCAGTTACAAAATATTGCTGTTCGTCTGTCAGATCCAAATTCATCGCCCAATAAGCCTTGTTTAATGTTAACTGCACATTATGATTCAGGTATTGAATCAAAAATATATCATATAATATATTTGTTTTTTTTTTCTATGTTCATAGTTGAGTTTAGTCCTGGTGGTAGTGATGATGGTTCAGGTGTTGTTATTTTACTTGAAATTCTTTCAAATCTAGTCAATGATCCAACAATAACATTCACTCAAGTTCATTTGATCATTCTATTTACAACCGCCGAAGAAATGATGTCCGCTGGTGCTTCAGCATTTGTTGTTAATCATGAATGGAAAAATGATATACGTCGATTTATTAATATCGATTCAACCGGTGGAAATGAAAAAGCCATCTTATTTCGAGTTAAACCATCACAGGTACATTCTAATATTTCTTGTTTTTAACTAAGTTCATTTTTTATTATTTTCTTTTTGAAGCTTGTTAAAGATTATAGTCAAGTCCCGAGACCTCATGCTAATGTATTGGGTGATGAAATTATTGAATCAACTGGATCCGATACTGATTATAGTATTTTTACAAAAGAAGGATCATTATTTGGATATGATTTTGCTTTTTATCTTGATGGTTATAATTATCATACACCACTTGATAAACCATCAATTGTTGAAGATGGTGCATTACAACATTTAGGTGAAAATACCCTTGTATTATCTCGTAATATTCTTCTTGGTCATGTTAATCTTCAACAACCAGAGACTATAATTGATGATGATCATTTAATCTATTTTGATATACTTGGTCGACATTTAATTATATATAAAAAATCAACGTCAGTCATAATACAATCAATTCTTATTGGATTTATTATTCTAATAGGAATTCTCGTGATTCTTATTGATCAATTATGGTATAAAGAAAATTCATCTACAGATGATTTTTCTTCAGTTTATTTTTATTTTAAATATCCATTATTTATTCGAATTCTTTCAATAATTATATTTTTTATATGTTATCTATTATCAATTATATTTGGAATATTATTTGCTGTATTTATTGCATTTATTGTGTCAAAAATTCGACCATTATCATGGTTTGGTAATTCGACAATAGCTTTTTTTCTTTATGGATTATCTTGCTTAATTGGTGTTATTCTTTGTGAAATATTATGGATATATTTACGTCGATGGTTTTTATCAAAATATCCAAAAAAGAATCCAATGGAAATTAATACAATTAATCATATAAATCGATTATGTTTTAATTTTGAACGTCATTGGGCTTTACTTCTTATATTTGTCTTATTTATGAGTATTTCTATTTATTTTGGTTTTCGATCACTTTATCTTATACTTCTATGGTCTATATTTATTTGTCCAATTTATTTATGTTTAATTCTATTTGAATTTTTTTTTCGTTGGACAAAGAAAAAATGTTTCATGATTTTTGATGAACAAGGATGGTATTGGTTATTTGCACCTTATATTGTTTCATTGATACCACTTATACATACACTTGAAATGACAAGTCGAATAGCTCGTCTAGCTATTCCAATATTAGCTAGAAGAAATGAACCAATTCCAATACCACAAGATATTGTTCTATGTATGATTATTGTATTACCTGCTGTGATATTTTTTCTTGTTTTTATTCCAAATATTCAACGAATAATGAATTATAATCGAATATTAATTATTTTGATAATCAGTTTTCTTATTGTATTTATTATAGCTTGCACAAGACAACCATATACAAATACTCATCCAAAACTAATTCGAGTTCGACATATTTCACAATCAATTTATAAATTAAATAATGCGAAAGATTTTCCAATGACTATTCCAATTTATTCACAAGCAGCATCAATTAAAGTTGAATCTTTTGATAATATTACTTTATCACAAACACTTGATCAAATTTCAAGTAAAACTGGTTATGTATTAAATAATATATCATGTTCAATACCAACAAGTTGTTCATTTGATGATACATTTAATCGTACAATAGCATTTAAAGAAGTTGAATTAACATCAATGGATAATTTTAATAATTATAGATTTACATTTCGACATATATCATCTTATCAAATAAGTGTTTTATCATCATCTGTAGCAAAAATTGTTGTACACAATGCAACAATAAAACCAAGAACAGAGACTACTATCGACATTCAACCGATTAGTTCAGCATCATCTTTTAATCTTGAACTTCAAATCAAACAATGTGATATAAATGATTCCCCTTTTCTCTTATCTTTGACTGAAAAATTGTCTCATGTTGTACTGCAAGGTAGTAGTCATTGTCAAGCCCTTACAGATGTTCTTGTCCTTTCAGTTAATCGTTAATATATATCAATAATAATTCAGTTTCTTACGTTTTTTTTTTCGTTCTACCAGATAAAATTGAAATTTTTATAATAAAAAAAAAAAGAAAACAAACAAACAAATGAACAAAAAAAAAGGAGGAGAAAAAAAAATATTGTTTAATGTTTCTTTTTATCTAGTTATAATTTAACATGATTTTAATGGATAGTATTGATTTATTTCATCATTAAATAAATCAATAAAATATTTATCGATAAAAAAGTTTTTTAAACATCCACGATATGCTCGACAATGTTGTTCATCATGACCACATAAACGATGATAGCCACCAATATAAATATATGTTGGATTTGGACGAAATGTAGTTATTTTACTTAATGATGCAGTACGACGAGGATAACTATCATCAAGTTTCATTGTTATGCGACGACGAAATCTATAAGACATTACGTATTATTTTTGGTTAATTTAACAAAAAAATTCAACTAAACCTTTCGACTTCAATCCGATGCCATTGACCATCATCAATACGTGCTTTTGATCTTAAAAATATTTCCGTTGAATTTTCATCTGTTTTAACTGTAAATTGTATAAAACCATTAACAATTGTTAATGATATATATTGAGAAAAAACATTTGTTGTTGTATCACCAATATAAAAAATTAAACCATATGAAGTTTTTGTTCTAAATAATAATTTAAAATAATTTCGATTTAAATTTAATGGTACATATGAATAAATAAGATTTTGTCTTCCATCTAATTCAATTGATATATCTTTAACATTAGACTGTTTATATCGTATATGACATGTATAATTATTTAATTCTGTTTGTTGACAAATTTTATTTAATGTACATGGATTTGGTTGACATGGATAACCACGATATTCACTTATATTAAATAATTCTATAGCATCTTGACGAATATCATTTAATGGATGATTATTAAGAATAATCTAAATAAAATGATGTGAAGAAGAAGAGAAAAAAAAACAAATTCTATTTTGATTACTTTTTGTATTGCACCACGAAATCCTTCGAATATTATAAAATTTGATAATGTATCAAATGAACGATATTGAATTGGTACATTACCAATAAATGTAAATGAACGAGGCCACAGAATATTTGTAGAAAATAATTCATATGTAACTACAGGTGATTCTTGATCGACTATTAAAGTAAACTTTTGACCATGAATTTCAATTGAACATCGATGCCATATATTTAATTCGATTGGATATCGAGAACTAAAATAGAATTCAAATATTTTATAAAGTAATTTTTGTTAAGACTGATCGGAATTTTATCCTATGTAGATCTAATCTATATTTTCCAGCTTTGAAAGTTTCTTTTTCTAGTCATATGAAAAAGAAATACAGGGTGATCCATAAATAACTGTGCGATAAGAAATTCGAATATCTCCATTACGGCTCGAGCAAACGTGCTGATTTTTTTACCAGTGATAGAGGCATGTACCAAGTTTATATCCATAAAGACATATCCAGTGAGACCCTTTGTTAAGTATCACTATTGACCTCAACAAGAAAAATTTACTTTTTCACAGTTAGAAGAAAACATCACTTTACTGAAAACAATTGAATATCTCTGCTACGGCTTGAGCTAACGAGCTGATTCTCTTATTAATGATAGAGACACGTTCAAGCTTTATATTCATAAAGACATGCCTAGAGAGATCCTTTATTAAGTATACTAGAGTTTTTTCTATCTGTGAAAAAGTGAAATTTTTCTTGTTGAGGTCAGTAGTGATACTTAACAAAGCGTCTTCCTAGACATGTCTTTATGGATATAAACCTTATACATGCCTCTATCACCAGTAAAAAAATCAGCTTCTTTGCTCGAGTAGTAAGGGAGATATTCAATTTTTTTTCGGATGGGTGACTTTTGGGCTATAAACAGGGTGGCCCAAAAGTCAGTTTGCCAAAATAAAAATTGAATATCTCCATTACGGCTCAAGCAAAACGAGGTGATATTTTTACCAATAATAGAGGTATGTTCAAGCTTCATATCCATAAAGACATGTCTAGATAGATCCTCTGTTAAGTGTACTGCTTTTTTTTCTATCTGTGAAAAAGTGAATTTTTCTTGTTGAGGGCAATAGTAATACTTAACAAAGGGTCTCCCTGGACATGTCTTTATGTATATAACCTTGATACATGCCTCTATCACTGGTAAAAAAATCAGCACGTTTGCTCGAGCCGTAATGGAGATATTCGAATTTCTTATCGCACAGTTATTTATGAACCACCCTGTATATTTAGCCGCGATATTATAGAATGATATTCTTAGCCTTATCAGCACTTCTTTTACTTAGAATCAGAAGTTTGATTTAAAAAAAAGATACAAAATTCTATGTATTTTCAACGTGTTTGTTGGTAGTAATAAAAGAAAATGTCTTGTTTTCATGGAAATTTCAGTTATTGACAAATTAAACACTAGAAGTAGTTCGCAAGCTAACTCTGATCAAGAAATATCATCATATGTCAATTTCATTTAGAGATTTAGAAAGATAAATTATTTCATTTACGAAGTGCATATTTTATCCTATTTAGGATGCACTCAAAGATATCAAAAAATTTTATTCGATTTGATGCTTTCCATACATATCTAATCCAAAAATCTGATTCGAAAACATGGAAAAACTATGTATTTATTAAAATCTTTTTTTTTTCTAAATAATAATCCTTTATTTTAAAATTACCTAAGTGAAATAGTCTTGCTTCCAAGTATAATATTACACATAACCATTCGTCTTTGTATAAAAACAGTAAAATATCCTTTTTTAGAATTCACATGATCACTGTAAATTAATAAACCTAAATAAATGAAAAATATAAATTCTCAATATATATATATGTTAAATAAAAATTTCTACCTGATGAACTTTCACTAAGAAACCATATTTCAATTGAAAATTTTCCTGTATGTTCTAATGGTTCAAGAGGAGGTCTTTTTATATAACTATTCGGATCAAATGCAGCTATATATTGATTATCTATTTAAAAAAAAAAAAAAAAACTTTTTATTTCTTTTTTAATCTATACAAAATAAATTTTCTCTATACCTGATGCACAATTTTTACAAATACATGTATAATTAGTTGGATATACATTTATACATTGTTGATCATAATCACATGGTTTTAATGAACATCGATCAATTGATGATGTTAAACAGTCAGTATTTAATGATGAAATATGATCATCACATATACATTTATAACTATTTGCATCATTATTTCTTATTGGTATACAACGAGTTCCATTTCGACATGATGCAATACCTGTTCGACAGGGATTTGCAATACATTCATCTAATAGATTAAAAAATAAAAATATATTTATAATTCATTTTTAGAAAAAAAAAAAGATAGTCCAACCAATATTTTGTGCACTAAGAATAATATGATGTTCAGAATTATTGAATGTTAATCGTCGTTCATTTATTGATAATTCATGAATACATCCTTGAAAACCTTCATCAAGATGAAATTGTTGATAAAGACTAGATTATATAAACATATTAATTCAATTTGACTACAATAAAAATCAATAAGAATTTCTTACGAAATTAAAGAATCTGGTAATCCTCCTAAATATAATGTACTTTTAAATGAACTACCAAATGGTAATAATCCTTTTTAGAAAAAAAGAAAACAAAAAATGAAAATATAAAAATTTTAATTCAATTATTCAATATACTTGATGAAATATTTCCATCATTTAATCTTGCACGTATTTCATTATGTAAGATATGTACTTGTAAACGAACATATGTATCAAGTTCAATAACATCAGGTAATTGAATTGTTGATATAAAATGATCAAGACGAACACTACAGAAAAATAAAAATAAAAATTTTTTTGTTCTTTACAAAATAATTTATTATAAAAATCTTTACGTTATATCAAGAATTTTATTTCTTATTGAAATAATAAAATAAAATTCTGTTAATTTATCATCAGCATAAAGAAGTAAACCATTATGATGTTCAGATGCAAATATAAGATCAATGCGTAATAATTGATTATCACTGTGTTTTGTTGATAGTTGAGTTTTAAGTTCAAAATATGATTGACGATTAAAATGTGGAATTGTTACATTAAATTCTTCAAAATAAAATGACAAAAGAAAAATGAAATATTCTCATTAATAAAAACAATACTAAAGGAACTTCTATGACTATCGTGCATAGTGGGAAAAACCAACTCTAACGATTAAGTCGAAAATTTTGAGATAAAACGTTGGCTTATTATTGATTACCTTGAAGGTGTTTCCGAGGAGTAAAAAGCGATGAGTTATGAACAAAATTTTGTGTTCTTTTTGAATGCAGATTTAGAACTTTTCTTGAGACTAATGAGATGACTTTTTGAAAGTCCCAAAAAGTAGTTTGAACGGAAAATTCTTCTGTACATTTTTGTACTTTCCATATGGTGACTTGAAAGTAAAAGTTGAAAACTTTATAAATATAAGTCTTCATTTTTGACAATAACATGTTTTGTATAGAAATAAGTCCTTGACAAAGTGCCTGTAGTTTTATTTTATATAAAGGCTGCAGCTTAGTTTAAATATAAAATTTTAGTAAAGAAGTGTCTGCTAGATAAAACGATTGACTTTGATAATTTTTGGTACGTTTGAAAAGAAACTCATAGGAGTTAGCAAAAATTTATTTGTCCACCAATCAACCTAATTTTTTGAGCCTTTAAAAACATTTTTCACTATTCTCGAACAACAGCTAAGATAAAATTTCTAAGAACATATTTCAAAAGTGTACAATATGCGCTGATCCTAATCAAGGGAACCAAAAATAAACAAGTATTTTATCTCAAAATTTTCGGTACACCTGTTAAAATGTTGATAAGATCTGATAACTTCGGCAGAGGAAAATCATCATAGACGAAAATGCTTTTTGAAATTTCCGTAAAAGTTAGTATCGGCTCGTTCTTAGGCTATGTCAGCTGAAAAAAATCGCAAGAAGTTTTCAAAAGAGAGAATCAATCGGGTTGATTTGCCATTTTACACAGTAAACAAACTAATTCTTAGTCTCTGATTTAAATATTTTGAAAAGTCATAAATACAAAACATTTGCTATATTAGCTTATTCCATAATAATATCAATCCATTTTACGATTAGAAATTCATTTTCTATTAATGAGTGCTTCTTTAGAACAATCATAAAAAAATTCTAGAAAAAGTTTTTTCACTGTGTGGTTAAGGTGCAATATTTTATGTGAATCAATTCAGTTTTATTAAGTTCTTAGAAAGTAGTTCAATGAATTTAAAAAATTGTAGGCTCAAGACTAACTCGTTTCATTTTAATACCATAAACTTTAATAAATCACTTTCGAATATTAATTCTTGAAAAACTACATTTATGTTTATTGTTAATTTTTCAATAATAAAGTCATTCGAGCTTAATGAAAAGATCTTATTGAAATAAATTTTTTTAACTTTAAGAGATTCTATAAAAAAATTAGTATAATATTGAAATTCTTACTTTCATTACAATGACGTCCTTGCCAACCAAAAGCGCATAAACATTTATAATTTCCATCTGGTCGATCGATACATGTAGCTTGATTTTCACATGGTGTTCGTCGCATACAAGCACCCATCGTTGTACGACGAACAGGATTTACTAATAGAAAAAAAATCTTTTTCTTTTAATTTTCTTTGCATTCAATAGAAATGTCTTACATGTATGATTCGATGCTAAAATATTCGAATGAGCTAAAATGAATATATAATTAAATAAACATTATTAAAAAAAAAAAGACTTTCTACTCCCACAGACATACACTAAACAACAATAAGATCATCTTACGCGCCACACATCGTGGTCCTGGTATACGTTTATATTTCTGCTTTGCACATTCACAAAATTCCGATAAACAAACCATATTTTCACCACAATCTGCATTTGTAGCACATCGTTCTAATAAATATCATCAGACATGATTAATTATATACAAAAGAATGTAGAAAAGATAAATCTTCTTACTTGAATCCACCGGTACTAATGGTGATGGATAATCAAATATGTTTTCTTCTTGAAATACAGCCTCTTCTTCCAATTGAGAATATTCTATCGATGATCCATCTATTAATAATTCTTTAAAACATAAATAAATCTAAAGACAAATTTCAATTTTATTTACCTGTACAAACACCTGGATAAATTAAACTAATTTCATATTGTTTTAAACATTGTTGTCGTTTAATAGCACATTTTGACTTATAAGTTCGCCCATCTGATGCACATATATCCATTGAACGTTGTTCATCATTTGTACATGTTACGTGATGGCATGTACAACGAGGATGACCATTTATTATTTGACATATACCTTCAAACAGACAAATTAAATCTCGGCATGTTCGTGGACGACGACGACCTGTACGTACTAAAAAAAAAAAAATTAATAAATAAAAAGAAAAAAAATATTCTCTATATAATGGCATACAATTAACACATCCACGATCAGTTAATGTTAAAGATGAATCAATACATTTATCACATTGACGGCCAGTTGCAAATGAATGACAAGAACATTCACCGGTATCTTGAAGACAATCTTTTCGTGTTGAACCATATGGATGACAACCACAAGCTAATCGATTTGAAAAATTAAAATCAATCAATATTCTTTCTTTAATAACTTACGAGTACATCCAGTATTATTATGTGATAATATACGAGAATATCCCCAATATTCATTTTCACAATGTGAACAACTAGATCCACCAACAGCTGGTCGACAATAACAAGAACTTGTTATTGGATCACATGAAGATTGTAATGAACCAGTTGGATGACATTTACAATATTCTAAGAAAAGCATATTAAAAATATGAAATTATTTCAAGTTTTAATTTATCATACCAGGACATCCACGTCGATCTAAACTAGGTGAAATAGTAATATTATCATGACAACATCCATATGGAGAATCAAAACAAGTTGAACCAATAGATAAATGAGGAACAGCAACTAATATTATTAATATGATGAAAATATGCAAATAATAGATTTCATTTTTATTTTCGTTTTAACTTACTGCATTCTCGTTTTTTTCTTGCTGGTACAAAATCTTGTCGTGCACATTCACAAAGACTACTTAAACAAGCCATATTTTTACCACAATGTTCATCTGTTGAACATGTTCGATAAGGTAATATAGCAGTAATAACTAGAAAATATGTCATTCACGAAAAAAAGGCTTTATCTTTTTTCTTTTATATCGTTATTTACCTTTAACACAACATCGATTTGTTTGTGTGTTACAATAACTATTCATGGGACAACGTCCAATAGTGTCACATTCAGTATTACGATTCATCATTGTATCAAATAATGGTTCATCATAACCACATTCACGAGTATATTCTATTGATAAAATAAATAGTTGATTGTAAATAAAAAAATGTCAATTTGGGTTACCAGGTTTATCTCTATCTTTATTGCAATAATGAGGTGCAATAGCATAAAGATGAATTTGTAATTCACATGAACGAATGTCCATTTCACATTGACTAGAAAAGAATTGTTGATTACTTGCACAAATTGAATAAGAATCATCATTCTAAATGAAACATATATGTATAAATATAACAGAAATATATCGAAATAATTACTGACAGAAATAAAATTCGATGTAAATGGGAACAAAAAAAAGCTCACATAATCAAAGATAATATCGAAAAGTCAGATTTTTGAAAACTGATTTTTTTTTATTATTCTTCCTCGACATATATATATAGGGTATTGATCATTTGATTATTCATGTTAGCGATAGTTATCATCAATAATCTCTGAAATTATATTTGTTTTTTTTTCTATAGTATCAATGTTAAACTAATCTAAGCTCTTCGAAACTCAGAGTGATTTTATCTTTTGATCTTGAGACCTTTTGGCTATTCATTGTTGAAATTACAACAATGTATTATATCACTACAATTATGTAATAAGGAAAAATTTCACGATGAAGACTAAAGACTATTCATAAGAAAACTCATTGAGATCAATATCATTATAGGAAATTGAAACGATAAGCAAAAAGAAACTTCAGCATCAACCAGTTAAGCACGCAAAAAACGAAGTTAAATATGGCATCTATTGAGAGATTAATGGATGTATACGACTGTGTGTGTTAGTCTTTTTTAAACCATGTACTCAAACCCAATAACAGAACTTCAATATTTCAAACTTATCTCATCGATTATGAGCTATATCAATAAATTGTTGCACCACAAATGTGAAAGGATATCTGCCTTTGAGAGTCAAACGGAGAATGATATAATGAACTATTTAGTTCAATAATAGATTCAAAGAAACTAAAAGCTAATCCAAACTCATTGGGTTTGGGTTTTTTAATTGATTCTATCATGTAGTCTAACCACGTCGCCGAAATCCTTGTTTTGATGTTCTCTAGTTTCACTTCCTTATTGCAATTTTTTACAAACAGCTAAATATTATATCACATAGCTCAATAGATAAGAACATTTCTCTTCATTTAGACAAAAACGAGCTCAACAGTTAGAGTGCATGTCGTTCTCGTGCTCATCGGTCATCAATCTATTAGTAATATTATACAAATAAGAACTTATTCAATGGAGACTATCATGTGCATTTTATAGTGTAGATCTTTTTGATTTAACAAAAAAAAGAAATTTTTTTTTTTCTATCAAAAGCTAGTGAAATTTGAACTTTCTCTCTTTCTCATTTAATTATTCATGTCATATAAGATGAAGAAAAAAAAAACATACTTGAACAGGTGGACAAGTGTTTCTTGATGGACAAACACATGTATAATTTCCTTGTTCAGACTGACATTGTGCATTAAATGGACATGTAACATTATGACAATTATTACATTGTCCCATATGAATTGGTTTTATATCTGAACGACGTCCTATGCAAGCATCATATTCAAGATGACATTGTGATCTAAATAAAATAAAAGATTAATATTTTAAAAAAAAAAAAAAAAAATTGTTTTTAACAACTTACGAATAAGTAATACCATTATTACCACACATTATATCTTGATAAGAATATACTGCAGAACATGATTGACATTCACATTCTACTTGACCATTATACTTTTGTTTACATTGACCATATGGACATTGAAGTATATCACACGTTGGCATGCCTAAATTTTTTTTTTTTTTTTGAGTAATTATTTTCTTCAATGTTTAATTATCTCTCTGATTCTAGTTTTTTCTTTTTCTTAGACTTTGTTTTATATTCAAACATAGGAACTAATAGTATTGACAATTAATCAGAAGAAAAATAGATGGCAGAAAAAAATATTGTTGATTGAGAGTCAATAAAGATATACGTAACTTACAGTATGAACTATCAATTGGTACAATATTTTCTTCGTTAATACAACGATTACGTTCCATTTCACATAAATTACGATACAAAATACCATTTGATCCACATATCTTTAAATAAAAAGAAAAGAAAAATGTTGAAATTAATTTTTTTCTATTATATTTTGTCTTTTACTTTATTTTCTTCTGATGAGCAATTAAATAGACATCGACATACACCAATACCATCTTCAATCATACATGTCTTTCCATTAAAACAAATAAGAGCCTTGCAGGCTAAAACGAAAAGAGTAAAATCTTGCTTACTCTTATATCATCAGGGAGCACTTGACGCTTCAGCGAAGGACAACAAGAAAGAAAGATGACGAAGAAAAAAAAAAGAAAAAGGAAAACTGATTGTCGAGAGACATTATTGTCAATTAATGCAAATTAGTTTAAGCAAAAAAAAACTATTTTTCTCTTTTCAACGAACTTAACAAGAATATCAAAATGAAAAATAAATTGATTATTGAGTATCTAAAATTACCCTATGTCTCTCTATATTACCTTCAGATTGTTGATGTTGTTCAGAAAAATCACATGGACCATCATACAATTTTGTTAAATGTATATTTGATTGACATGCATATTTATTCATTTCACATTCATTAGAATATTCTTGAAGATTACTTGCACATAAAGGACGATAATCAAATAAACATTGTATATGAGGATTACATTCATCAACATTTTTAGGACAATTTGAGTGATGACAACCTTCTATAAATAAATATTTTTGTTTTTTAAATAGAAAAAAAAAACGAAGAATCAAAACGTACGACATTCACCAATATGTGCAACAGACAAATTTTGTTGAGTTTGACATGCTTTTTTATTTAATTCACATAATGACTCATAAGTTTGATTATCACTACCACAAACATATCCTTCTGATGGTATCGTGTGAACATATTCATTGCAATTGTCCGGACAATAGCATCTAGACAAACCATTATCATCTATTCGACATACAGACCCATGGGAACATATTATTGATGTGCATGTTGAGTCTCCTAAATACATGTAATCTTTAAGCTATTTTTTTTTTATTCGTTCTCTTATTAACTTGCCTTTTCTCGAAAATCCTTGTTGATAATAAGCATTGCATTGAGCTTGATCTAATCGGCATTGATTAGGATACGTGATTCCGGTTCTATCATCTTGAACTGGCTGTCCATCATCATTACAATCGAATATACATTGGCATTCATCGTATTCAGTACATGTCGCATTGAGTTCACATTCAATACGTCCATATTGACATACTAAGAGACGTTTTTTTTTTGTTCAAAAACCAAAAAAGAAATATTTCTTTTCTTACTTCGTTCAGGTTGAAATTCAATTGAAGATTGATCTAATTAAATAGAACAACAAAAAAATTAAAAAAAGATAAACTTCTTATCTAACTTACTATAAACATTCTCACTATTATTACTAGGAAATGTTGTTAAACTCTTCCTCTGAATGCCTATAATATTTTAGAATATTAAATAAATATGCTTAAACGAGAAAATAATAAGAACAAGTAAATAGCACCTGTTTTTAATGTTCTATAGATGACAGTAGCAAGAAAAATACAAGCCAACAAAATTATAATACCGACAAGAATAAGTATAATACGTAGGCATTTTCGACTTTTATCACGATGATGCTGTTCAACAGCAGCCACGTACGATTTATTGCTAGCTGTGCTCATTGGCACTAATAATAATAACAAGCATAACGAACGACAACAGGCGATGTGGTTTCTTTTTTTATTCTTTTTATGTAGTTATGTGGACAACAAAAATCGTGTTCTCTCTCCCTCTCTTCCTTCTTTGTCTACAAAAGTGATCGTTCGTGCTCGCTTGCTCGTTCACTCGTTCGCTCTGCAGAACTCTTTAATATCATTAGTTTCTCTATCCTGTGAGCTGATTTTTTAGTAGAGAAAAAAACAGAGAAAATATAGATTTATATATATATATATATGAGAAAGAAAACGAGAGATGAGAAAAGAATCGAATCAAATATGCTGTATTCAATCAATCTCTTTTTTTTTCGAGATTTATAGAAAAAAAAAGTCATCTTCGTTTTTCCTTCTATTCTTCGAACGACAAACATATAGTCATTGATGACGACGGACGGTTTGACATGTCATCGTCTTGAAGAAGGAAGAAGATAATGTGCCTCAAAATAAATGATCTTCAATTGTGGTTGACGTCTTTCTCTCTCTCACTCGATCAACGACAACATATATATACAACTCCGGAAATATGTCGTTCGTCGTTGAGCATCTCGGCCTCTTAATTCAATCACAATTTTGATGATTAACGACGAACGTGGAGTGGAAATAAGAGAACCGATACGGACCATCGAGATTGAGACAGTCTCGACTAATTCAAAAGAATCAGTAGACAAAGACAAAAGATACATTGTATTATAGATTAATAGAGAGAAAGAAATTAATATATGCAAATATGTCTCGATATGCCGAGACAAAACAATATTCACACATTCGACTTTATATTATGTAGTCATGTCTAATTATAATGACACAGAAAAAAAAACCGTTGCAATTTGTTTTCAATTAGATTAAAATTCTCGAAATAATTGTTTTTTTATTCTGTCTATCAACAATATTCTTTTGTCCAGGGGCTACGGTTTTTTTTTGTTAGTAGGCAAAAAAATGAGACAGCGATCAGATTACGTAGACACTGTTCATCATTGGTTAGGTTTAAACGATGACAAGTGTAACCGGAAAAAGAAGAAGATTGGATTATTTCTTCCATTCTGTTTCTTCTCAGTCAGATTGTATTTCGCCTATGTGTTTTGGGAGAAGCTGATGGAGAAGAGACCGAAGGACTCTCCTATTTATTTGAAATCGAGGGAGTTAGATTGCATCATACTTAGGTTTTATGTATTACTATCTCATCAATCTCGATGTAATAGAACTGTGATTTTAGCCATGTCAATTTAGATAGACTTTTACGGAGCGTGCTAAAAGACGAAGATAAAAATACAATACATCTATTCTCCATTAATCTTTGTCTGTAGTAAATAGGAAAGAAGAAAAAGTATTCAAATATTCCAGATCAATGAAAATAACTTTATTTTACCCTCGATTGCTTTTATATTTGCTAGCGTAACTGGCAACGGTGTAAAACTTGAATAAAATCGTGCATGAGTAATTCGAACACTAAATATTTTCATATCGTAATATTTTAATGGTGAACTTTCTTCACAAATCACCAAATTATCAACAATGACATAGAATGGTCGTGGTAAATTTCTCAATTGATAATGTTCAAGCATATAAGATTCTCCATGAAGTATTCGAAAAACCCAAACGAATGCTGAATATGGATAATTATTAGACCATTGATGAATTGCAAGAACACGACCAGTAAAAATAATATCAGTTGAATTTTTAATTTGTAACATATCAATAATCATACATGATTGAATTGATATAATTAACATCGATAGGAAAAATAACCTACCGGTTTGAATCATTTTTTGATCGTTGTCAATGAACCTACTCTTGGACTTGGAATATATAAATAGACAAGACAAATTCAAGAATGCAAGAATAGATCTGTGTCTTTATTTCAAGATAATCAATCCGATCGAGATTCTATTTTTTTGCTTACACTCGTTGGTTATTAGCCGAGAAAAGAAAAGCAAAGCATAAATAGAAATGGTCAAAAATCATTGAGCATCTCTTTTTTTTTTTTGGGTTTTCCCTTCTCCTTGTTGTTCTACATAGTGTGCCGACAATCATCATCGGTTTTTATGCATTGTTTATGTCGTACGAAGACATATATTGAACATTTTCTTAGACATGTGAATAGGGTGTGGTATGAATAATATAACATTAACAAGAACCTATTAAATTGATTAACTCATGAAACAAAAACAAACATCGGCTTATAAATGAGACTTTTGGATATAAAAGTCTTTTTTTTCTTCTTTTGATCAAATTAATTGAGTATTTCTATCAAATAGACTACACATTAAGAGATGTATTATGTTTTTTCTATTCATTCGAAGTTCGAAGTTTGTAATAATGAAAGAAATACAAAAAAAGAAGGAAAGGAAACCATTATCATTTATCATATTTTCAGGCAAAACTTACCGATTAAGTTTGTTTTTTCTTTTAAAAATTTTTTTATAATAAAATATTCTTTTCGGATCAAAAGAAAGACAAGAACATTTATATGTACGTAAGAAGAGAGATTTCTTTTTATAAAATGTAATATAACACCAAGAAAATAAAAAAAAGATGCTTTTTTTTGTCTTTTATCAAACATTTATTTTTTATCGTTTTCGATTGATGCAAGCAAACATCTATCATGAGCAGCGATTTGAGTTACCTTGAATTTATTATTTAAGAAGAGTATTGAGGTAGTTACTTGCTTATTTGATGCCAATAACTGTTTTTGTTTATTGGGTTTTTTTTCTTTCATTGAGATTTAAGACAATAACAGAACTAAGAAATAATGTTGTGCATAATATATAGATTTATAAATTCTGACAATGTATAACTACATAGTATTACTACACGAAAAATCTATTAGAATATATAGACTTATTTTCAAAGATTGTCTACACAAAAATGTTTTCAATAGATTTCCACTTTATTCATTTGGATATCAAGATTTTATGATAAATATGAAATAGTTTTGTTGAACATCAAAAGTCAAACATGTCGACATGTCTATTATAGAGTTTATTGTAATGTAAATTATTTTCTTATAGTTGTTTTGAATAAAAACAAGAAATATCCAAAATACGCCACTCATATTATTTCTATTGTTTGAATTTTCTTCTGTTTATTTTTAAAATTTGGAATAAGTTATAGTCGAAGTATCCATATATTGATTTGCCCTGTTTGTGAAAAGTCTTGAATATAATATAAATAATCAAACATGACGATGTCAAATATAGCAAACTATTAATGTCATAATAATGTACTTCTTCAGAGTGATTGAGACAGTCTTGTATTACTGTCAAACATGTAAGAAAATTAATGTTGAAATCATTTGAATTTGTTATGAGAGTTCTTGAAAAAACAAGAGAAATTTATTTTAGAAGTTTTCTACATATATGAATCTGTATTCTGAGATGGAATACACAATAAAAAATATTCGTTGAATTTTATTGCTTTAAAAGAAAAATGCATTGTTTTTGTTCGATTTTGATTAAATTTCCTATGATCTTGACTAGCGATAGATTACATTTTGTATTTACAAGATTAAGAACGATAGCTCGGCTGTGGATATTTAATATATGATAAGAGAATAGTTTAGTTCTCAGTCAGACTAATTCATGAAGATTTAAATCAATTTCCTAATATCTAATAAAAGCAAACGATTCTTAATAAATAAAAAAAAGATTTCTTAGCGAATCAAAAAGTTTCTTTTGACTGTCAATAGTAATTTAAATATCTATAAAATGATTATTTTTGCTTGATAATGATAATCGTTGTAATTTGATTTGCATTGATTTTGAAACCATTGTCAAATCAATATTCAATGACTAGAAAAATCTTCGAACGAAATAGACTATTGTTCTCTTCATTCTATCGCAAATTTACTTGAATAAATCAAAACTATCAGTAATAAGATCCATTACATTTGATTACAGTTGAAGAATAGATGAGAGTTTTCAACCAAGTGCCTGCAAGCAAAGAAAGTCAATGTAAATCAAAAGCTTAAGACTCAAGAGATAAATCGTCTGAGATTTCGGTTGCAGAACGAGGGAATCAATCTTTTTCATCGTCATTTTCTGATGCTTTGCAATTATTTTAGTCAATGTCTTCAGTTGAAATTCTTTCGAATTTATAATTATTCTAGATACAGTGACAGATTCAAGAAGAGATGAAGAACGGCGGCTACCTCACCCTACAGTCAGCAATTTCTATAGAAGACGTGAATATGGCTTGTTTTCTGTGAAAGACACTTTTTTTTCATAGAAATATTAATTTCCGATACTCAACAAAAGATTGATGAAAAAAGAACGAAATTCGTAAAAGAACATTTTGCGATAGAAAACGCATTACGAAACTTATACTCTAATCTTTGATTGAAAAAATTTTTATTTTAAAAAATCACAAATGATAAGTCATTTGACGTAGTTGTTTGTGTTAATTTCAAATATGTTCTTATTTTTCTTTTAAAGGACTTTTAAGAAAAATAATCGAGAAAATCTTAAAATAGTGAAGTCTTTTAGAAAATCTATATCTCAATTGAGAAGAATTTACGCATCTTTACATTAATTGAGTAGACGTATCATCAGACAGAGAAAAACATTCGGTGAAAATTTCATCAAGTTTGGAACTGTTCTAAAGTGTGCTCACTGAATATATTGAACACGCCTTTTCAGAAAATCCTTGGTTGAGACAGCATGCATACATTTTCAGAATCTGCATGATTTATTGCTTCGATCTTTCTCCTTTCTTTGCAAAAAGATAATTACCTCGATGAAAACAAAAAATTTGATTACTTTTTAGACCTTGATTTTTTCTACACTTTTACAGAGCTAGGATCATTTTTTTTAAATAAAAAATCAGTCATTGACCAGAGTATATTCTATATCATTTAAATCACAAAAAACATCACTTTCATTTTTTCACCAAATGTCCACGTTCTTGTCCACTTTCAGAGAACGACAACCACTTGCATATATATATGATATACATAGTATTTTTATTTATATCAAATATTTACTCTTGTTGAATATGACTTCCACTCCTGTGACACAACTGATGAACGTTTTGTTGAGTTTAACATTGAAATAATCAACGGTCATGTTAACAGTTCATTTATGCTTCTCGTTTTGCCGATGATTCATAAGTATGAGATTCAGTGAAAAGATCTACATAATTCATGTTCTATGCAGCGGTATTTTATTCCTGAACATCAAAATTCGTTCTCAAATTGATGCAACATGACCGATGACAACAGTCGCAGACGAGTAAAGCTATTTTGACATTCAAAAACTGATAAACTCGTATCTTCAAAGTACTACTGATGAAAATCGTCTGAATGGACTAGCTATAATTTATGTGTACTTCATGATTCATATTGATATCGAATAAGTCATCGACAACTTCTCAAAAATGAAAACATAGAAAACTAGAATTTCTTGTATGATTTGTTTCTTACGTTCGTTATTTATGTTTTCACAGATCATAACATATATTTTGAACAATTGATAATAGAAAAATCATCGCAAAAATTATTAAAGAGATTTGTTTCTATCCGCCACTCCTTTCAAATTTGTCGAAATCTGCTACTGTTTAGATGTAATGTGTTTATTATTGAGGAAACTTAACAGAATGAAAAATGAACAATCATGAAAATTTATGATGATGAGATCATGTCAATAAATAAATTCAAACAGAAGAATTCAGTTAGACTACTCGCAATATTAACTTAAACACCGATAGAAAATAAACATTAGATTTGATCAATATTTGTTCCTTCAAACAGAGAAGATTGAAGGAATACACAAAGAATCCCGGTGAATGGTTTTTTTTGCTTAGTATTTTTATTTGCTGCTCTGCTAAGAACGTGTATTCTACATTTTACTTTTAAGTTTTCATAATATATAAGCAAGCAAGAAAAGCTCTGAATTAATAACGACAATGGTTCAATCAAGGTTATCTGATCAAAAAATAAAAATGTTTTTCTATTAAAATTCTGAATTTTTCTTTCAACAAATTCGAAAAAGTCGTTACGTAGTTATGTGCAGATAGATCAAAATTTCTGATTTTTTTTCATTTTTCTCTTTATAAACAATCACCTAACTTCGGAAATTGATTCTTTTAAAACTTTCTTCTAACTTTGAATGTTTGTCTCTTTGCTTACTAATGGCATTTGGAATTAACAAGAAAAGTTTAAAGAAAGAGCAAACTATTACGATGTTGGGTAGATATAGTAATCAATAAGAAACTGCTTAGATTTGATTTCAGTTTCCTAAACTGAAATCATGCAATATATAAACTGGTTTTATTCAAAGTAGTTGTTTCACGTGAGATTATAGAAAAATGAAGAGTGTGTGTATGTGTAATATTTTCGTCCCAAGAGAATGCAAGTATTGATTCAAATTTATCACAATCTAAAGAAAAAAGCTATGAATGATTCTATTTCTGTTCTATCAACAACATATTTCAAAATTGAGAGTTACTGCTTCATCATTATTATTACATGTGACTGAATAATATGCATCAAAATTCAAAGAAGAATGATTGACAAATGCCGTTGTTCATATTTTCATGGGCATGTAAAAATGATCTAAGTGAGCTAATGTAGGAAAATTTTTTCTATTATGAATTAGATGTGTAAAAAGAGAAGCATCTATATGAGCGAAAATTTCAAATTCAAAAACAAAATCATCAAATAGGTTCATGAACTTTGCATAAAGAGCTTCAGCTTCAAAGATCAAGCCGACCGATAATCTCCTGATTTTTCATAAACAACCTCTAATTTCTAAAATTTAGTTTTAGCAAGCCTGGTTACGCAACATTGAAATATCAAACATTGGTAGGATCACTTTCCCCTTATCATTTAGTCTAGTTTAATATAAAATGTAAAAAATAACGTATAAAAAAAGTACTTTCAATTCTGTTCATGTTAGGAAGTATGGTTGATTCAAGTGACTTGTTCATGGATCCAGAATTTTTAGTTTATTTTGGAAAGATTTTAGATTGAAGCAAACATATATTGTGCTGTTAGTTGGTAGCCTTTGAGCGCTGAATTAGAACTCAGTTTTTTTTTAAATTCCTTTGATTCACTCTAGCTTCGTCAAATAATTCTGATTTTTTTAGGCTTTCATCTTCTATCAAAAAAAGTACTGAAAGTAAAACATACGAGAGTATTCGTCTAAACTACAAAGGAACCAAAATGATATCGAATAAAATCAAAGAATCAAAACATGATGCAGTACATGATCTAAGATATGACAACCATGTTGAACTTCAATGAATACGCTAAGATATTCATCGAAACTTATTGAGATCCGTTTCAATTTATTTGACTCCGCGAAGAATCAGGATTCGCTATTTTTCTTAAAAGATTTTAACCCCATATCATAAGTATTAAGAAGGAATAATAGTATTTTTCTTCTTCTATTTTCTATTCATGAATTCTTAGTTTCTGATTAGTTTACTTACTTTTCTCCAATAGGTAAGAATTCCTAAAGATTGTCTCGTACTGTGGTGCAATTCGTTGGATTTCGTCAGCTTTTTGTGAATTCTGTCATTTTAAGGATCAATTGAATTCATCAGGATTCCTTATATATATATATCCATTGGTATTCTCAAAATAAACCTAATAAGAAATAATGTTGAAAATTAATTTGAAGTCGACATGGTAAAGAATCTTTATGACCTTGACATTTTGTCTAAATAATCATGAGTTATTGTAGAAGAGTATTCAAAATTTAAAACAACCTTGAAGTACACAATACTTCGCAAAATCAGTGTTATTTTTCATTCTGTAAAGTTTTATAATAATCTATACCTTTTTCCATGTAAAAATACAAACAAAAAAAAAAGGAACGAAATTTTCTATTAATAAAAGAAGTCAACGATAAGAGCATAATAAATTCTATTTTCCATTGCACCTATAAAGTATCTGGATTCCATAATTCATCAGACAAAATCTGCTTTTTTATGAGTACAAACAAGAAGGAATTCCCATAAAATGGGAACTTCATTCTATAGCATTCGAAGTCCTACACTAAATGGTCCAATTATTATAGTAAAACAAAAGTAGATTAATAATTGTTAATAAACAGATTTAGTAAACATTTTAATCAACATTTCCTAAATCTAGAGTCTAAAAAAAAATCCTAAAATTAAGATACTCTCACAGAAATGTTAAAATTTGGAATTTTTTCGGTTCATGCAAGAAATTTAACAAGCTTGATTTTAGTATTATACATAACTTAAATAAGAGTACTTCTTCATAGAAGATTGTTTTGAATACAAACATATTTTTATTCTTGTAGATCAATGATATCGATCAGCATTCATTGTTTCGGTAAGATGTGAAAAGATGTACATATCAAACATAAATATTTCTCCAGAAAATGACAAGCATTGCTTTGTCATGTCATAAATTTCTATATAATGGTATTGTAAAAATACCAAGTGAATACTTAGCAATTCAATATTCTTTATACATAACTATAGATGTGCATGTTAATGAATATCAAGCTGGATTACAAATTATATATTGCCATAGTTCTATCGAATAATATATTATTACGTAAAATGATAAGCTTATTATATGAATATGTTATAAGTCGAAAAATAATTAATGAACTAATCGTTTTCTTCAATTGATAAAAGCCATTTGATTGAATTCGAGATCTACTAGTCAAAATATCTTTATATTTGATAAAGATGCAATTTATACTTATTTGTACAATAAAAAAAAACAACATCATCTTATTGTTTTGTGGACGAGACGTGCTCGAACAAGAATCGATTCATTTCTTCTTTATCATTCTAACTGGGTCATGCTCGTGTTTGTCTCTTTGCACAAACTGACATTTAGATCGGTCGTCCTCCTGCTTGCCTGTCTGTCGTTTTTTCGTTGTCGAACGAAACAATGTAATTATATGCTAAGTTTGTCTTGTTACGGCTACCATCACCATCGTCGAGGTGTATGTATATATTCATTCTCTCAAGAGTGACATACACTATTCTCTTTTCTTCCTATGTTTGTTTCGTGTCGTCTTCTCACGTTCGACTGTCAATTGATTGTTCTATTAAAAAAAAAGAAAAAAAAAAAGAAGAAGAAATGTGGGACAAAATAAACACACAAATACAAAGAACAAAATAGAAAGAGACAGAGACAAAGAAGAACATCTTTTATTCTTTATTTTTAGTCTTCTGAATGAGATGATAATCAGATGTTTGTTATAACAGTAATCGTGAAAAAGTGGCGGTCTATACAGTAAAAGACAATGAAGCGAAATGTTTGGAAAATGATGTGAGTAAAAAACAAAAAGAAAGTTTCTTGAAAACTATTGAATAATATGCAAAGTTTATGCTTGATCTAGAATCTTTATTTTATTTCTCAATTATTCCTAATCATACAAATAAAACCATTCGTTTGAACTTGAAATCTAATTCTTTTATACCTATTATATTCATCAATACATCTCAATATAAATGCATCTCCGCTCTTAGTCAACAAATCATTTTCTTTTCTCGTATACTCATCATGTTACATCTTTTCATCATCGTAGGAAAAAGAGAACGAAAACGAGTTAATCTCTTTTTTTCTCATCATCGATCGATCGTTCGATTTATTTTCTTCTTCTTCTTCTTCTTTTTTTCACATCAAACTGTGGACAACAAAGAAAGCAAACAAATGAAAAAAAAACAGGCGTTAACTAGTCTTTTGAATATAGTATCTATTTCAAATCTAAGTGTGAAATGACTTTTTTTTGTCAAATATTATCATCAGAAAATTTTTCTTTTTTCTATTAAACATCTGTTCCTATTGTGACTTATTAGAAATTATTAAGGCACTTGAGATCAGGATATTATACGGTTCTTCATTTCATCATTGCAAAATAAATGAAGCAAAATAACATATATATACTTTTTCTATTGGTTCTTAAAAGAACAGTAAACCAATAGAAAAAAAGAAAGACGCTTCATATTCTCTCTCTCTCTCAATTAACGTATCTCAACTAATCCCTTTCTTTTTTTTTCTCTCTCTCTCGGCACGTGCTCTCGTCTTTTTCTGAAGCATACACAGACACAAAAAAGAAAAAAATAGGAAAAAAACGAATCTTATTCTCTCCTGCTTCTTTCTCTCTCTGTTTCTCATAAAATCGTTTTCGTAACTAATGAACATAAATCTTACAATCAACACCAATTCGAACGACAACGAGTATTAGACTAGTGTGTAGAAATAGAAAAGGAAAAAAGGTATTAATCTGACCGGATTTAGTTATTTCTTTTTCTTTCTCTTTATTTTGATACAAAAACTTTATTGAAAACAAAACAAAACAAAAAAAAAAAACTCAAATAAAATTCCTCATCATCTTTTGACATCATCAAAAATTAATCCAGGATTAATGATATATATGTTTGATATTTCTTTCTTTTCTAGTGCCGGTGATATACAAAAATGGAAAATCCAAATGAAACACTTGCTACTCTTTTAAATGCACCTATACATGCCGATTATGCTGATTATTTCAATCCATCACATTTACAATATCATCATCATCATTACTTTCATAATGCAAATCGAATGTATCAAACACAAGCAGCCTCTTATTTTACACCTGAACAGTTTGATACTCAACAACAACAACAACAACAACAATTAACAACTGATCATCATCCACTTTATTCATCACCAACAACAAATTCAAATTATCTTACACATCATCCATCAGTTGATATTTATCATTCCCAATATCAACCACCATCATCGTCAACATTATTAACACATTTACCAACATATGAAACTTATGCATCACCAACAATTTTAACTAATCTTGAACAACCACAACAAAAACCGACTATTATTAAATATGAACCAAATAATGATTTAACAAATAATTTAAGTGAACAAAGTGCTGATGAAGATATTGGTTGTAATGAAGATGAAAAAAAATCTTCAGGTAAAAAATCAAAATGTAATAATTCAAATGGAAATAATCCAAATGCTCGACAACGTCGACAACGTACACATTTTTCTAGTCAACAATTAACACAACTAGAGCAAACATTTACGATTAATCGTTATCCGGATTTAGCAACACGTGAAGATATTGCAGCAATGACTAATTTAACTGAGGCTAAAGTTCGTGTTTGTAAGTGCAAAAAAAAAACAAAATTGTCCTATAATTTATTTTCATTGAATATAAAAATTCTCGTTTCTTTTTTGTTTTTATTTAGGGTTTAAAAATCGTCGAGCTAAATGGCGTAAACGTGAAAGAAATATGGATCATTTAAGAAGTTTTCCTCATATTGTTGCGCCATTTGATATGTATACTCATCATCAAGCTCCACCACCACCATTTATGTCAACATATCCAACAAATACAAATTGGGATACAGCAAAATCTCCTTCAAGTCCAAAATCTTCATCTCAATCATCACCAAATACAAATCCAACAAGTTCATATCAAACAACAACTAATCCTTGGACACTCCCATCAATGAATTCATTAACTCAACCATTGTCTATAACAAATAATTATAGTGATACAACATCACCAGCACCACCAAATACTACTATAACATCATCATATTATTCATTATCGGATACGAATCCAAATATTTATACACACAATACAAATCTTATTGAACCATTAACATCACATCCATTAACACAAGTTCTTAAAAATAAAGCAAAACAAAATAGTTCTAGTTTTCAATTATATGAAAGTTCGACAGCAACACAGAATGGATTTTATTCCGAAACAAATTGAACGAAAACATTTTGTGATATACAATAAAATAAAATTTAAAAAAAAATACGAAGAAAAGACAAGAGTTTTCTTTTTTTTGCTTTTTATGTATGTTGGTTTTTTTCTTTTTTTCTCTCACGTTTTTCTTTGTTGTGCCTTTTTTTGACCAATGTTTCTCTCTCTCTCTCTCTTGCACATTCGTTTATTTGGTGCATATAAAACGAAAAAAAAAAAATTACACAAAAAAAGAAATTAGAAGATCGATTTTGAATATACTCATACTAGTGTGAGAAGAGAGAAATGTTCATTTCCGTTTTCTCAATAAAAAATATGTCACAGTGAATATTTTCTGTTGATTTATTTAATTTTCTCTTCATCGATAAAACGGAATTATTTCCGTTTTACCTTTCTCCTATTGGTTTACACATTACTATTGACTTAGTATGGGTGTCATAATGGAAAAAAAGAAGAGGAGGATAGAAGAATGAGAGGGAGGGGGGGGAAGTATATCAGAGACGAGAATAACAACAATGCGCATCATTCTCGTTTGTCTCTCTTTTTTTTTCATTACGTGCACTAATCCCTTGCCCTGCTAAGCATTGGGCAAATGTTGAATTGTTTCGGTCGCTTGTTCGTTCTATGACCAGACGTGCACAACTACACCTATGTTGTTTTTCATCTATCATGAATATTGAGATTGGATGTCACTCGATATTCAACAAGAAAGAAACAAAAGAGACGACTCATTCGTCTATTTTTTCAAAATATTCTTAAACAAAATCGAAGAAAAAAAATTCTTTTCATTTAATAATGATTATTATGCAAATGAGTGTTGCATAGACATTTTAAGTTTCCGTCTGTCGATCTATATAGTTAATGCAAATTGATTTTCACAAGAAAATTTTCTCTTGATTGGTAACAAAAAAAAAGCAAATTTAAAATAACTTACCAAATACGTATGCAAGTCAATCAAATTGTTGCTATTGTTGAGTGGGAAATATATATATATATATATACGTGTGTGAGCTTCACTATCGACCACTAAATCTGAATGCTAATACAGTATGGTGATGATGGTCGTAATCCTTCACCATCATTCGTGTGTACTTGCGTTCGGCTTTAGACTAAAACCTTGAGCTCTCCTTCCTTTCTCTTTCTTTTTACCGATACACATACATAATATTCACAAACAAATATTTTCTATCGGTTGAAGTAACTAAAAGCTTTGAAAAATGAATTTTTTTTGTTTTTTCTTATTTTAGTTAATTAATTTTGTTCGATATTTTATTTATTGAAAGTATCATAGAACACAATTAGTATTGATCAACACATGACAAAGATCAAATTTCTCATGTGACTAGAAGAACAAAGTGTAATGAACGTATCAAGGAAATTGCCGCTGTCGCTCACATTTTTTTTTAGTGAGATTTAGTTACCTATTGACAAAATGCTAATTTAAATTGAATCGGTCGGTCACTTTTTTGTTTTATTCAGTACGCAAACCTTATGTCATTGATCTCGATAAAAAATGAAACACGAAAGAGAAGATTGAGTGACAAATAAATTTTTATTATATTGACTAGATTATGCAGACCTTGCCATTTTTCTACTTGTTTTTTTTTTAAAGAAACAATATTATTATTGGACATTTTCATTGGTTGATTTCATCGTATTAATCATTCGGGCGTATTTCATTCGATATTTCATCATATCATTTGAGTGAAGCTGAGTATATCTTATTGAAGACTACTCTTACATTTGCATGAAAAACCTATTGAAAAATTTTTGTTTCAAATATCACAAATTTTACAGAATAGTAAAGATCAATAATATGAAAAGCAAAGTACTTTCAATATAATAAAAGATTTATTAGATGACATAGTGATTCGTATTAATCCATTTGAATACAGTCCACTACTTATTTTTAAAAGAATTATGTCTATTCTACGAAAACATCAAACTTTACTATTATATCCAATAACAAACTATTTAGACTAGAACATTTTGTTGATTTATACTCTTGTTTAATCAGATGTTTAAAAAACCTTTCGATGAATTATTTTATGAATACTAAGTTTTGTCTCTTTGCAAGACTTACATATTGAATATTTAACATAAAGTGTAAAGTTTTTGAAGGGCAAACGGATGTATGTATAAACAATATTTTGTAAACAGAAAATTGTCCTCTTTCGAATGATATACGACTAGCCAGAACAGGTGATTACTAACAAAAGACGACACGAGAAGTTGTCTTTTCTTCTCACCAAATAACCTCTCTATTAATATGGAAAAATATCGGTGTAAGAGAAACAATTCATCAAAATATGTTTCGGTTCTATTTGAACATGAAATCTATGCATATATATATAATTGGGAAGGAAGGGATTTGCGCGGATTAATCCCAGAGAGGAAACAAAATAGAGCACAAGAATTTGACAAAAAACATTTTAAAATTACAATAAATAGTGTTGAAAAAAGAAACATTGAGTTATATAACTAAATGGAATCAATGGCAAATTTAGAGGTGGGGCATCAGAGGAGCGATCGCTTTCCCCCCTTCCCTCTTCTCGCTAGAGACCTGCACGGAGTCGTTTTCAGAGTCACCGTCGGAGTCAATTAATTCTTTTGCTGAAAATTTACTTTTAGCATAAGAAATTTGTTGACTTGCAAGCTTTGTTCTCTGATATTTAATGCATAAACTGGCGCATTTTGAAGATTCCAATGGCATGTTATCAAGGTCAATGACCACGGAAAAAAATCGGAGTCAGATTCAGCTCCGATTTTTTTTCACGGTCAGACTTTCTTTCAGGGTCATTGACCTTGATAACATGTCATTGGAATCTTCAAAATGAGTCAGTTTATACATTTAAATATCGGAGAACAAAACTTACAAGTCAACAAATTTCTTATGCTAAAAGTAAATTTTCAGCAAAAGAATTAATTGATTCCGACGGCGACTCCGAAAACGACTCCGTGCAGGTCTCTACTTCCCGTCCTTCCAAAATATTTGTCTTGATTTTTTTTTCTAGCAGAAAAGGCTTAGAAATAAGCCGATACTACCTCTAATAAGCTTCAAAACACGTTTTATGATGATGATTATCTCCCACCATGAAACCCTAGATCCAACACTAAATGAACTTCAATCAATGTATTATGTAAAAGTTTTTTTTTTCATATTTGTCATGTTTTTTATTAAAAGAAAAAAAAATAAAAGCTTTAGTTTCTAAAGATTACTGGATTATGAAGGCTGATATACATTGTAAAAACTTGTATATAATGTCTTATTCGAAATTCTATACGTATGAAACATACTTAATACAATTTCAGTGTAGATATTAATATGATGAAGATAATTTTATTTTAGATTACAAATTGATTTCGCGATCTAGAATTATAAATAATATTTGGTTACATTCCTTTTTTTTTTTACTAAAGTCAAATAATCATATTAATTATCTTTGAATAATCCTAAATTCACAAGTGTCATTTTAATCTTTTAGTATTGTGTTTTTTTTTTGTTTGCGACGAATTATGTCAATATTGATATGTATGAACAAGGCGTTATGAAGTTATTTATTTTTCTTTTTATTCTTTTATCATTTCTAATTTCTTATTATTTATCTATATCAATCATATTTATTATGTTTTCATTCTTATTGATTCAAAACTGATCACAAAATCTAATATTTCTTTCTTTTTTTTTTGCCAAAACACGATTTATTATTCTAAAACCTCATCATCTTTTTCTCAGTGCCGTGTCAATATCAGCAGGGATGTGTTATTCGAAGTACGCGTGTCAGGGTTAATTACACACTTTATCATCCACAACATATCAAGTCTTCTTCTTTGTTTCTGCCTTCTTCGGCAATATGTCTGATGTATATCTATTTTCTTTTTTTTTTGTATTCTTGATACATGTATTTGATGTGGACAAGGACATTTGTTGCTACATATGCTGACAGTTAATCTCTTGCAGTAACCGCAAAAAAGAAAGGTTTTTGCTTGTTCAAACAATAGCACAAGAGAAAAAAAAGAAAGCATATAGTAAACTATTCAGTAAGAATTACATAACTGAACTAGCAACCTATTGTATAGCGTCACCTTGTGTAATCATGCTATAGGATATTAACGTGAGAATAGAAATACAAAAAGAAACCACTCATTACTTCCTTTTCTTTTTATTCTTTTCTTCGTTTATCTATCGTTCTGTCATTGTTCACCCTTAAATAATCAGTAGTTGCACGCACGATTAGATAGATATTTCTTTGTATTTAGGTCATTTTTCTCTCGTTTCAACAATGCATCATATGAATTTTGAATCAATGCCTGATGAAATTCTCTTAGAAATCTTTGATTATATATCAAGTTGTGATTTAATATTTTCGTTTTATAATTTAAATCAACGTTTTAATTCTATAATTCGTGGTATTCGTCTTTATCTTGATTTATCATATATACAACAAAAAAAATTTTTACTTACATGTCATTATATATTACCAAAATTTTCTCAACAAATTTATTCAATAAAATTATCAAATAAACAAACTATAGATGGAATTCATTATTATCTTGAACAATCAAAATATTGTCGACAAGAACGAATGAAAACATTAATTTTAACTGAACCAACAATTGAACAATTAACAAAATTAATTCCTTATTTTCCATTTCTAAAAACTTTAATTATTAAAACAACAGATTATTTAGTTATACCAATAGAAGTTATACCAGAATCTTTACGCATATGTAGAATATCGAATTGTCAAATTGATTGTTTATCATCAAATATTTCAGAAAAAATTTATTTTATTGAAGAATTAAATCTTAAAATATCAGATATAAATAGCCTTTTTATTTTATTACATTCAATGATTTATATACAACATTTAACATGTCACATATCAGAAAATTCTTCAATAAAAATAAATTCAAAACAAAATTTTCAAAAATCTTTAAAATTTTTAACTTATTTAAAATTAAATGTATTTTCAATATCATTTAAATATATTGAAAATCTTCTT